TGTAATAGGGGGGGGGGGGGGGGGTTACTATAATCCCCATTAAGGACTGGCTAGTATCAGGGGGAACATCCATACCAATTGCGCGGAAGCTTCAACAGCTTTGACTGCAGAGTCCGCGCGTGAAGCGGCTTGCCGCCAAGCGCTGGCCTTCAGTATGAACTGGGGGTTTCCTTCAGAGGGTTTAGGGTTTAGGGTTAACCCTAAACCCTAAACCCTTTTCGGGGTCCCTTTCAGGGGATTCTATTCTATTTGAGGTATAAACGAGGTATCCATATTTGGGGGACATACCCAACTCGGGGCGCGCGCAGAGCGTGCAGACATGGATGTGGACCTTTGGACATCGTTCGACAGCCTCAACCCTAAACCCTCAACCTAACCATTCCGCGCAAAAACCTCGCATGACCAAAACCAAACTCCACCCCAAGCCTACAACCCGAAAATGCCTAAAGCACTCACCAACATGTGAAGAGACTTGGGCTCATATACATCGAATCAGCCCGCAAGCCTTCTGGTTTAGGGTTTAGGGTTTAGGGTTTAGGGCCTTGTAGCTGAAAACTGTCCCTATCCAGAGGTTCTGCAGGAACAGGGAGGTTGTTCCCAGTTGGGACCTAGAACGCCTGAAGCACAGGCACTATGGCCATCCAACACCCAAGTCTTATAGATGCACAGTTTGTAGTTTCGTCAAGGGCTTTCTGGGAGTTGACTGCAGGCGACGGCACAAGGCTCCGTGTGACAGACTGAAAGTAAACCCTAAACCCTAAACCCTAAACCCTAAACCCTAAACCCTAAACCCTAAACCCTAAACCCTAAACCCTAAACCCTAAACCCTAAACCCTGTTCGAAGGGCGTGCGGGATTCGGCTTCACAGGGGTCAGACGACCTCTGATCTGATGGTTTAGGCATTTAGGGTCAACTGCCCATGCATGACAACAGACCAGGGAAGCTTGGCGTCAGCTTCGAACAAAAACAGCGGTCACCTCGTCAAAGATGGGTGAGTAAGCACGTAAACACTTCTGCTCTGCAAGGGTCAGAATACTTGGCGTGCGGGATCCGGCTCCGATTCTACAAAATTCAGACGGTTTAGGGTTTAGGGTTTAGGGTTTAGGGTTTAGGGTTCAGGCTCCTGATTCTACAAAATTCAGCAAGCTTGAACCGAAGGGCATCCTACTGGATATGGGATCAGAATACCCAAATCATCCGATCACCCCGAGAACCCTCGGAGGCCTCGTAACCCGGCTACCCAAGTACCCCCAATCACCCCCGAAACCCTAAACCCTAAACCCTAAACCCTAAACCCTAAACCCTAAACCCTAAACCCTAAACCCTAAACCCTACTAAACCATCAACCCTACACCCTGGCAACCCTCTGCTTTTCATCTGGAGGGAGCTGGACCCCCTGCAAACAAAGCCGCGCTCCTTCCGGCGACAACACGAGCTCGCGTTGTGGCAACGATACAATCAAAGCTCTTCACAACTCAGCTTGAAACAACAAGAACCAACCCCCAAACCCTAAACCCCAAACCCTAAACCCTAAACCCCAAACCCGCGACCCCAAACTTCAGAGTCTTTCTGGAGAGCAGAAGACTGGGGAGCTAAACCAAGAATACGACAATGAGCTGCCAAGCTTCGAGCAGCGGCCAAGAGAGCCGGAAGGGCAAAACGTTGTGGTCCCAAGCCGCAGTCGGAACCAAGGTGAATCTCGTGACGCGAGCTTCACATGAAGGGTGTCTTATGCCCTTTCTTGGGAGGGGCTTGGGGGAAAGCAGCAGCGATACAAGGCAAACACAATATGATGTAATCACCTAAGACAAGATGATATGATACAATATCATATAATATAGTAGAATATAATATCATATAATCTAATATAATATCTGCAATAAAAGATCATACAAGATAAGATAATATAACGTGTATATCTATATATATACACTCTCACGTCAAGGCGTGTACAGGTGCTATACGTCCATCCGCACCAAAAGAAGCTAAGCATGTGCCGCCTGCCATGCCATGCATGTGCCTGCTTCAGACACTCCTCGGTTGCCAACAACGGCTAGGATCCCTTGAAAAACATGAGGGTGGGCTGAATGAACAGATCCGTTCAGCTCCAGCAAGTCTAGGTCAGTGCCCGAGTTTCTCAGGGTCTGCCTTTTCCGCCAGGGTCCGCGAAGCAGAACTACCCTACATGGGCACTTCTTCATCCTTTTTGGGCTACCCTAACCCCAAACCCTAAACTCTAAACCCGAATTACAAGGTTCCGTGTTAGAATCGGTCCAAGAGTACTCTCTCTTTCCAAGCCCCTCAACCCTAAACCTCCATTAGGAAGACGGGCCCCTTGTGAAATCTCCTCACGGGCTGGCTTCAGTTAATTTCGGGTTTAGGATTTCGGGCTTTAGGGTGTCAGGATTTGGTTTAGGGCGGAGGGTCGCAGTCTTCGAGGGGGTGACGGCATGGGTTTACTTAAAAACCGCACAAACGCTCGAAACCCTATAAACCCAAAGAAACCCTTTTAAACTTAAACCCGATGAGTCAATGAAATCTTGAACTGCCTAACCTCAGGTCTGAACCCAAATAGAAGAGCAAATCAACGAGTGGAGATCTGAAATGGCTCGCGCAAGAACGTGTCTGAGAGCGCAAGACAAACACTATGAACCCTGAATCTTAAACACCATTTGGGGGCAATGTGAGGCTTGGGGGTGTGCCACCTCCTTCTCCGCAACTACTTTGGCAGAGGGCGTGAAACCCTCAACCCTCCAACCCTATAACCCTCAACCCTAAACCCCTATGGACCCTAAACCCTCCTTCATCGCAAACCATGTGGACTCTGGACAGTCCGTGCCAGCGGATGGCTTCGGTGCCATCCGTCTGTCTGTGTTCGCGGCGGACCTTCTCTATGTATGACATTGGTTTAGGGTTTAGGGTTTAGGGTTTAGGGTTTAGGGTTTAGGGTTTAGGGTTTAGGGTTTAGGGTTTAGGGTTTAGGATTTAGACCATGCTGGCTGGTGCCAAGGTGCAAGCTCGTGAGCGAAGGGTAGTTGCATGGGCCCTTAATATGTTCTACCTCCTGTGAAGCGTTCTATACCCTAAACGGTTCTTTTCCCCAAACCATAAACCCCATAAACCCTAATGTCGGAGGGCAGTTACATTGTCCTTGAACATGGCCTTACCTCCTTTGACAAGGGTTCTGATGTATGGGCCCTTGGGTTGTGTGGGGTACATAAGGGGTCCCCTTTTAAGGGCTCATGTAAAGGGACCATGTAACTACTCCTGAGAAGTGCTAAGCCTAACTGAACCCTCAAGGTAAAGAACACAATCGCCTTTGACAGCCGCTACAACCTGCAAGGGCCTGCAAACACAGGCGTTCCTGGGGGAGAGCGCCTTTCAGGGTGTGTCCCCCAGGTTCGTAAAGAAAGGACTTAAGATTCTTAGGGCTTAGGGTAAGCTCTCAGCACTTTTGTGCGCCGCTGCCTCCTGGGCATGCTCCGAAAAAGGGAATCCGCTCCTGAGCTGCCAGAAACGCGAGGTCTGCCAAAACCCTAAACCCTAAACCCTAAACCCTAAACCCTAAACCCTAAATGCTCGCCTACAATGTCTTCGGTTCCCGGGAGGCCACCCGAACAAACTTAGAATGTAGGGTGTATTTTGGTAGTGAAGATGTCTAAGTATTCAACATGGTTTTAGATTTAGGGTGTAGGGTTTGGGGGGGGAGGGGGGGGAGGGGAAGGGAATGCTGGACGCTGTACTATGGTCTGGGTGGTCGGGAAGATGAATCGAAAGCCGGGTGGGCCGAGTCCGAAACAAAAACGACCGAATCGGAAAACAATAGAGTTTAGGGGCTTAGGATGGCACCGAGTCAGAAAACGGGAGGAGAACAGGAATCGAGCATGTCCATCCAGCACTTTTGGCCTAAAGTCCTAAAGTTTGGGCACCCGAACAAGGCGGTTGTCCGCAGTTTTCTCTGCTTTGGTTCTCTTCTTTTTCGACTTGGGTCCAGAGTTTAGGGTTTAGACCCTAAACCCTAAACCCGACCCTAAACCCTAAACCCTAACCCTTCGGCTTAGGGTTTGCGGGGCCCAGGGCGCTTCGGACTCAGGGGTGTTGCGCTTTCTCGACTCAGGCGAGGTCACTTAGGAGCACTTTTCCTGACCTGACGGTCTGTCCGGGTTAGAGCTTACCCACAATGCAAAGACCCAACTTTCTTCCTGAGACTGAAAGCGAAATAAAGAATCAAATCACTGTTTCAATGTGTCTTAGAGCTCCGTTCCAGAAGACCCTTTGGGTTCGGTGTTGCCTTGGGCTTTTGCCCGGCTCCTGGGCCGTACTTGCATAAACCCTGAACTCAGACTCGAAACCCTAAACCCTGAACCCCAACCCTGACCCGAGGGAGGTAACTGAACACCGCAAATGATGAGTAACTATGGATGCCTGCGCGTATGGCTGAGAACCGGCTTGGATGTTCAGCCCTATAGGAAACATACCTGAAGCAACAGGCGCAGCGGTGAAGGGGTTTGGGGCTCAAGGGCTCAAAAGTCTCTTTTTCGATTTTAAGATGGATTGCAGCACCTTCAACCCTTTGAATCCACAGATTGAGATGACCCCTGAGCCAACTACTGCACCCAAGCCACGTTGCCTGGCGAAAGCAATGCCACTCTGGAACTCACCAAAGCGGACCATGACCGCGCCTGAATCTCTCAACACACCAAAGCCCTCCGCACTGACAAGGAAGCAAAAGGGCACAAGGAATTAAGGCAAACCAAGAAGGCTGCTCGTGAAAGTTTCCTAGACCCCTACAAATTTTTTAAACAGCAGAAGCCCACAACCCGCTCGGATCAGCCCTGAACGTTGAACAACACTTGCCCTACGCATATCGCTGTACAGGTGAAAGCCAATCTAAGTCTTTCCAGATGGCTTATATAGGTATCATGGCCTAAAAGCTCAAAACCTAAACCCTAAACCCCTAGAACCCTAAACCCCAATCTCGCAGAAGAGCGGCAAAAACTTCAAGCAACATGAGCCATCGCTTCAAGCTCATCCGTGAGCTTCTCGACGCCTTGTCAGCAGCTGACACCAGTTCATTGAAGGTAGGGTTTAGGAAGATCGGTCCAACCCAGGGCTCATGGGCCAATAGTGTTTCTTGCTATATTTACCAGAACTTCAGCCTTCACTTCAACTACTTGCAGTTTCAGCATACGCCTCTTCGCGACATGCAAGCAAACGGGTGTTAAGATTCTGTTCTCTTTCAAGTAAGACAAATTAGTCCGGTCCCATGCCCGAAACGAAATACTGTTGCCCATGGGGGGGCGGGGAATCAGATTGAGAAACCTGCTAGCAATTTGCCGTCTTTTCATACCGTCTTGGACCTGCATGGCGTGAAGAATCTAGACCCAAAGAGTAACCTTGCAACAAGAAGGGTACCCTTTTTGTTTAAAGGGACTTGCAAGGAAACCCTAAATCCCTATCAAAAAGGGAATAGAGCCCTACTCTGGGTCCAAGGAAGTCGGCTTCAGGGTGCCTTAGCTTGGCTTCCTGGGTCCCAAACACTGTCCTAACCCGAACAGGCTTAGGGTTTAGGGTTTAGGGTTTAGGGTTTAGGGTATCCGAAAAGCCCATCCACATCCGCAAAATCCTATGGCCCCAAATTCCGGATGCGCTGCAATTTTCGGCATCCCCCCAAAACCTGAAGCCGGAAGTGCAAAACTCTTTTGCGTAGACCCGAAAGCCCTAAAGTCCTGCTTCCTAAAAACCTACACAATCTAACTCACTCTTCGCAAGAAGGGGGCTCTCGGACGCATGTCTCTCGGCTTTGCAATGCCATCTCGTTGGACAGAAACATAGGGTGTCGATGGTTTAGGGTGTATCAGCCTCAGGGTTTAGGATTTAGGTCTAGGGCCTGGCCTTCTTGAAGCTTTGGAAGCTTTGCAAGGTATAGAAGATCGTAGGGCTTGCATCGTATGAGTGTATATGTGCCTTTGAAGGCCGTAGGGATTGAAGCTGAAGGGGATTTCGGGGTTTGTGGGGCCCAAGGCTTTATAGCGGCCGTCAGAACGGTTTCAGGGTGTCCAGGGCTTGAAGATTCACTGTGTAGCTCTAAACCACTAAACGCTACACCCTAAACCCTGAACCCTGAACCCTAAACCCTAAACCCTCAACTTAAGCTCAGGGTTTGAGGGGCGAAAGGAAACCCTCTACCCTAAACACCAGGACTTGCGACCAGCTGCAGGCCACCATCTCCGTTCCGAAATCGTGTCGGGATGCCTGCGCCGGATTTGATAAGCAATCCGGTCAGATTATATGGAGCTGGGACTGCCACTATGCCGAGTCTCAGTTAAGCACTTTTGATCGCTTTTCCAGGCTTGCCTGAGATGACCCCTTGTGAGGCCAAGTTCTTCTGGTACGATGAACAACAATCAGGCTGAGTGGTATATGCCCCGGCGGATTCCATGCTCTCCCGGTGCTTCTCCCCGGATTTGTGATTGGTATCCCCTGTCGCCGTAGATGTTTGGCAAGCAGACGAACACCCGTCGACGAGGCTAGAATGGTCCTGGTACTTGTTTGTACTCTCACTTCCGACTCAACTTGCTGGGATACATGTGGTGGACGACCACCTTGCTGAACGATACCTTGAAATAGACGAAAATTATGTAGATGTACTATCAGCATCAGAGATTATCTTGGGAACAGATAATGATTTCACTGAGACTCTTTTTCAGGAAATATTACAACAAACATAAGTAAAAAAATACATCCATACATATATGTATATATATATATATAGTACTTCATTCGCATTACATATATCTATATATATACACATGTATAAACAAGCTTGCAAGGTATTTTGTGCATCTCAGCTCCTTGTTGGAAGCAGCTCCTTGCTGGAAGCCTCGCTCACTCTTTTCTGAGCACTCATCAGAGCCCACCTTTAAAACCCTGAACCCTTGACCCTGAACCAAAAAACCCTAAACCCTAAAAGAAAAACTCAGCCTTGGCGACGGCGAGAAGCGCAAGCTGGTGGAACGGCATGCGGGCAATGACCTGCTTCTGGGTTCAGGGTTTCTAGGGTGTGAGAGTTTAGGGGATATAAGTTCTAACCCTAAAGAACTAAACCTTCGACCGCAAAGCCTGAAGTTGAAAGAATCGGGAGGATGGCTCCCCCTTTTCTGAGACAGCATGAGATGTAAGGGTGCTTCAAACCCAGATTGTGGCCATAGGAGTCTCGGTACCGGCAGAATAGGTAGTATCGAGGCCTTAAAAATTAGAATAGGTTTTTCTTTTTTTTTTTGGGGGGGGGGGGGGGGGTTTATAGTATGCTTGTAGTGGGACCAGAAGGGAATGCGACTAGTAATTGTTCCGACCGCTATCGTAGTTTTAGGCAGTAGGGTGTAGGGATTGGAGCAGAGTTCCTCCCAAGCGGCCCTCTCCAGACGACGTTGCATGGCCTCGGAAAACACTTCCTGCTGGCGGGATGTTGAGGATTCCTAAAATCCTAAACCCTAAACCCTAAGCCCTAAACCCTATATATCCTAAACCCCAAGCCCTAATACTAAACCCAATGTCGGGTTCGGCGCTTAAGGGGGTGATTGCGTTGTGAGAAGCATCCGCCTGAATACCAAGCCCCCTTAAACCCTAAACCCGACCGTCAAAACATAAAGGACAAAAGGAGGGACCATTGTGAGGGACTCTACAGGCTATATGCGGTTTCCGAAACTGTTTTTTGTCTTAAGCCGACGTGGGTGCGCATTTGGACTACAACATGATGTACACCGGTGTAGCAGGGGGACGGACTCCATCAAACCTCCGGGTGCGTCTGTTTTGGGTTTGTAGTTAGGGCTTAGGGTTTATAGATTCCTGCCTTCTTGGCTCTAAGCTTGGGGAATGGTGCAGGGACGATTTGCGTGTTCAACAACGTTGAGAATTCCCTCAGCCCAAAACCCTACTAAACCGTTTCGTGAGCGACTTTTCCTAAGGCTGCACGCTCTTCAAAGAAAATACAAAATAACAACCCCTTCATTACCCTTATAAGCAAGAGGTTTATATCCTGCTTTTTGGGGGCATCTGAAGCCATTCATAGAACCCTAAACCTAAACCCTAAACCCTAAACCCTAAACCCTAAACCCTAAACCCTAAACCCTAAACCCTAAACCCTAAACCCTAAACCCTAAACCCTAAACCCTAAACCCTAAACCCTAAACCCTAAACCCTAAACCCTAAACCTAAACCCTAAACCCTAAAACCCAACACCACACGCTCTTCCAGGCCCGGTCCTCAGCCGCCGGGTGCCACTGGGCCTGCAGATGCAGCTTGCCCACCGGGGTTTAGGGTTAGGGTTGAGGGTTGAGGGGTTGAGGGTTGAGGGTTTAGGATTTAGGATTTAGGGTTTAGGGTTTAGGGTTTAGGGTTTAGGGTTTAGGGTGTCTCATTGGGGGTGCGTGCTGGTGCTAAAAGCAACAGGCGCGCGCCCCGAGTTGTTGAGTTCAACCCCCCGCTTGGGCTCCACCGTCGTCTTGCCCTTTGCGGGATTTGGCGTTTCCTAGCTTTCTCACGTGCCTCATGTTTTTCTTTCCTGTTGTATAGGCCGTTTGGGGCTGGCTGGCGCCGGGCATAAAACTGGGGGTCACGGGACTGAGAGCTCCGTCGCCAGCCGTAGGGCTTCTGGCTCCGGATTTAGTGTTTCAGGCCTCCCAACTCCCTTGCAAAAACCCTAAGCCCAAAGACCCTGCACCCGCAAAACCCCAACACACTAGTTATCGGGTTCTCCTGCCTCCTGGGCCACCAGGTCCAGAAAGTCCTTTGCCAAAGGAAGGAAGCCGTTCCTCAGATCTTGGGTTTTGGCCTTCTCTCTTTGGGCTCGCGGCTTTCTTGAGGCTTGGGGTTTTGGGTTTCTGGTTTCGGTTTGCCCTAAACCCGAGTCAACCTTTCACCAAACCCACAACACCAAACCCCGAAACCCCTCAACCCAAAGCTAGAGGAGAGCTGCCATAGCTCCAAACCAATAGGGGCACCAAACCCCAGTTCCTACACCTGCAAGCTTGGTGGCATCCGCTTTGGCGTTAGAGGGGGTTGGGGGGTTGAAGGGCTCTAGCGGGTAATTTCGGCCTTTGGACGGTGGATAGACTGGAGTGTTGCTGCTGGCTTCTGAGAAAAGTACGTGCGGCTTTCGATTTTGACTTTTGGACGGGGGGGGGGGGGGGGGGGGGGGGGGTTGTGCGGTTTTACTGTAGGGTTAGGCCTTTGAGGCTGAGGGCTGAGGGTTGTTAAGGGGTTAGTGTACTCAGGAAGCGGATACCCGAATCTCAATGCTGATGTCGACTCAACCATTTTGCTATTTCGTATGGAGGCTTGTGGGCCTCTTGACAGCCTTAGGGGATTCAGGGACTTCCTCCGACTTGGGGCTTTGGCGGCTTTGGGGGTTCTGTCAGTAGCCTAAGGCCCCTTGAACCCTGCAGCATTTAGAATAATGAAAGCTTGAGTGGTTCCTTCTCAGAACCATGTACAATACGGCCTAGTAGTCCAAAGCCCTAAACCTCCAAAAGCCCTGAACCCTAAACCCTAAACCCCCAACAGCCCAAAACCCCCCATTCGAGTAGTCTTTCGTCCGTGTGGCTCGGTGGCAGTCACGGTGAGCAGCCTGTGGAGCAAAAGGAGCCCCTCACCTTGCCACCAGGAAGCTGGGTCCCTAGCCCTACGCCCTGTTTAGGGTTTAGGATTTAGGGTTTAGGGTTAGGGTTTAAACTTATACGGTGCTTAAGGGAGGGAGGTTCAAGGGCGATATGTAACCCAAGGTTCCTACTCCCCTAAGCTTCCCTAAGGTTTTCAGTGTACCTACCCGACTCCCTGAATAACCCAAAAAAGAAACCTAGCGAAGCCCCAGACATCCTCCACCCTAAAGGGGTTAACCCTACACCCTAAACGGGGTTAGCCAGGTCAGCCGGGTGCATTGCGCCGCTGATGCGGGAACCTAAGCCTCCAACAAAGAAAGAGAGAATCCGACAGCCTACCGTGCCCTGAACCCAGAAACCCTTTAGTAACCCTTAGAAACCCTGATAAACTTTTAGAAACTCGTAGAAACCCTGAGAAACCCTTAGAACATCTTAGATACCCTTTAGTAACCCCTGGAAACCCTTAGAAACCCTTAACCCCTTAGAAACCCTTGGGGACGCTTAGAAACCCTGATAAACCCTCTTAGGGTTTGACCCTCTCCGTCCGCTGCCAAGAAGGACCAGGACACGGCATCCCATGGCGTTGAACTTCGAGCGTTGCTGCTTGTCCATCTTGGCCGTGCGCCCCTGGTGGTTTAGGGTGTAGGGTTTTAGGGTTTAGGGTTTAGGGTTTAGGGTTTAGGGTTTAGGGTTTACGGCTTGGGGTTTAGGGATTTTAGGGTTTGGGTTTAGTGTTCAGAGTTTAGGGCTTGGGGTTTAGGGTGAGTGTAGCGCTGCGGGGTTTCCAGGGCTTTAGAAGGTCCATGCAGGGTTTCAGCATTCAACGTTGGTGTTGGGAAGTAGGAGGCTTGAACTGGAGGAAAGTGCCCCGAGGATTCTGGTGAGATTACTTGCACGTCCAAGTGGGCACACTGCCACCCAAGCCAGAAATACATATATATATATATGCACCAGACTATATATATATATATGTACACATATATATATATATATATATATTCTAGACATGTCATGACATGTCGAGGTGAGATTCCCTGGAGAAAGAGGATACCAAACAGTCGTTTGGAGCGACACGTGCCAGAACCTCTGCCTGCGGCTTCTAGGGTTTAGGGTTTCAGGGGCAAAGGTTTAGGGTTTCGTCCGCCGACGCGTTTCGTCCCGCTCTTCCCCTACACCGGGCTAGGGGGCTGGATTCGGCCCCCGAATCTGCGGGAGGCATGGGCATGGTTAGGGTTTAGGGTTTAGGGTTTAGGGTTTAGGGTTTAGGGTTTAGGGTTTAGGGTTTAGGGTTTAGGGTTTAGGGTTTAGGGTTTAGGGTTTAGGGTTTAGGGTTTAGGGTTTAGGGTTCAGGGCTCAACGACAAACTGCATTCTGAGGCTCCTCGTGCGACATGTGGCAGTAGTTGCAACGTGCTCCGGTCTCGCACTTGCCAGCCACGAAATAAATGCAGGGGCGGCGGCCTCAGAGCAACCCTAAACCATACCTGGGACCCTATTTACCTACAGCGTTAAGGGCTACACCTACATTTTGGGGGTACTTCCCCCTGATGTAGGTAATATAGGGGCCTTAAGAACTAGAATAGGGTTTTGGGCCTATTATAGTATAAATATACCATAAATCATACAAAGGGACCATGAGGGAAAAGGATTAGTACTTTCTCCGACCCCTCTAGTACCCTACTGTTCGATCACAAAAAGGAAGGCGTTGGGGCCCACGGAATCTGCAAAGCCCCCGACCTAAGAAGAATCTGGGGTTGCTGTTCTTGGTAGCCCAGCAACCATATTATGATAAGGGCACCCTTTTTTGTTTGGTTAGTTTAGAAGGGAACCTTGAACCAAAAAAAATAAAAGGGTACCACTGGCCTACTAAGTGTTGTAAGGGGCCCCAATTAGGGCTGCACAGACCATTCAGAGAGCCGTAGGGTTACCTTAAATCCACATGTTGTTTGTTTCTTCAGTTCACAAGCACTAGACCCTGAAACCCTGACATGAAACACTTAAACCCTAAACCCTAAACCCTAAACCCTAAACCCTAAACCCTAAACCCTAAACCCTAAACCCTAAACCTAAACCCTAAACCCTAACCCTAACCCCGAAACTCTCAACCCTGAACCCTAAACCCTAGGGTCCGGCCCCTTAGCAGCACTCAACTTGAAGTCTGAACAGCATGTCCCAACTGTCTCTTGCAGAGTGGCAGAGATGAGGATGCCCCCGGGAACCACAGCTCGCCTGTCTTTAGGCTGGCTGAGGCTTGAAGGCTTAGGTTTCGGGTTTTAAGGGTTTTTGGGGTTTAGGGTTTAGGGTTTCGGGTTCGGTTTTAAGGGCTTTTCGGGCTTTTTGTTGGGGGGGTTTCGGGCTTCTGGGGCATTCATAACATTTGCAAGTACAAGCTTGGGGTGGTTGACCCCCACCTATGACGCGGGCGCCAGCAGGTGCGGCTCTTGCCCTCGAAAAAGGCTGATGATCTAAAGGCTAAAGGCTGGGCTTTATCGTGTAGGCTATCGATGAACCAAAATTTGGGGTGTCACTTTGTCCGCAACGTCGGGGATCAGGGTCTGCTAACCTACACTCGGTTCAACGATGCAAAACGAAACAACATTTAGGGTTTAGGGTTAGGGTTTAGGGTTCAGGGTTGAGGATTTAGGCCCGAAGACCACATCCGAAAACCCGGTGTTCCAGAGCTTCGGCCTGAGGGCACAAGCAGTTCTAAGTCGCAAAGCCGTTCGAGGATCATGCTTCCGGGGACCTGAACACTAACTAAATCCTAAACCCTACCTGGATTCGGAATTAGGGTTTAGGGTTTAGGGTGGACCCTGGACCCCCAAAGTATGCAAACAAAAGAATCAGCCCAAACACATACAAAGGACAACCTTTTTTGCACACTCCGGGGTTTAGGTAGACCCTAAACCTTGGGATGTTTCCGTTGTACTTACAGTCCTTAATAATAGGGATTCTAATAAGGGGCGCGATACTCCCTTGTAAGGACTGTTAGTATAAGGGGAAACATCCCAACATAAACCCTAAACCATAGACCCTAAACCCTAAACCCTAAAAACCCCCAAGCAGTGAAGAACTCGCCAGCGCCACCAAGGTTACAGCGACCTGTCTTTGGCCGAGGGCCTCAGGCCGGCAAGTGGTCGATGGCTTGTTTGGGCCTAGGGTTTAGGGTAGAGCGCTTGGGGTTCAGGGTTCAGGGTTCAGGGTTCAGGGTTCAGGGTTCAGGGTTTAGGGTTTAGGGGTTCGTAAAGTTGGGGGTTTTGGGCGTTGTCGAGTTGGGGTCTTCAAAGAAAAAGATGTCCATTGGCTGCCAACGGGAACCGCAGCAGTACAAGCCCGCAGGCCATCAATCCAACCAGCCCCTGAAATTGCAAATCCAAACAATCCCTTAAGCCCTCGAAGGTTTAGGGTTTAGGGCTTAGGGTTTAGTTTAGGGTTTAGGGCTTAGGGTTTACCCCTTAACTCCCAAAGCCTGAATCCCTTAAAACCCCAAACCCTTCCTCGACCACCTCAAATCCCTTCCTGATCCCCCCCACACACCCCCAAGAAGGCAACCTTCCCTCCCTAGCCTAGACCCCAAAACCCCAAACCCTAGACCCAAAACTTCGCTGGCAGGAGGGGAGAGGGGGGGGGGTTCCGCAACCAACAAGCGTAAAAAAAAACTGAACACTAAACCCCTGTCAGTTTAAGGATGTCGCGTCTGGGCCCAGAAAGGTTTAGGGATTTAAGGTATTAGGGCTCACGATTTCGGGTACCCTGAACCCTAAACCCTAAACCCTAAAAAACCCTAAAAATCCCCAAATCCGAGTACGATCCTAGTGGCCTCCACTTCGTCCGCTCCCATGGCTGTCCCAGTGACCGGGAAGCCTGCGTCCACACTTTAAGGTTGAGAGTTTTGGGTTTTGGGTATAGGGTTTAGGGGGGATTACGTTAGGGCTTTAGGATATAGGTTCTTCAGGGCTCATGAGGACGGAGGAGGAGATACAGGGCTTGACACCCCTCCAGCTTAAGGTTTTGATTCTTCCCCTGGGCTGCAAGAGCTGTAGCCCCAACCCCTAGCCTCTAAGCCTAAACCCTAAACCCCCCCCCCCCCCGCCAACAAAAACTAAAGAACCTAAACCTAAACCCTAAACCTCCGTAAACCCACAAACCCCAGAATGTAGCCGCGCAGCGCATGAAGGAGGTACCCAGAGAGCGGACGTAGCCTGCGCCAACGAACATGAGCGTTGGGGGTACCCCCCGTTAACCGCATGGGCTCTAACCTTTTTGAACACCCTGAAACCCCAAACCCTACATTTGCACATCTTAAGCCTTTTTGAACCGCCTAATCACCGGAGAGCTCGGACTCTGAAAAACGTGGACTTCCGAGGGAGATTAGGGTTTGGGGTTTGGGGCTTCCAGGTCAGGGGTAGGGTTTAGGGTTTAGGGTTCAGGGTTCAGGATTCAGGGTTTCGGGTTTCGGGTTTAGTTAGGGTTTACGGCCGGACCTTTTGTGCGATCGCGCCCTCCCCCGAACAATTATATGCCCTGCACACGGCTAACCCAGATTGTTGTCACGCTGCTTGGGGAATGTTTATATGTACATAGTGCCATGCAGTTCTGAAAATTATGGTTCTTGTTGCAGTAGCCTATAAGTATTGGGGCCGCCATAAAAGAGTACCCCCCCCCCCAAAGGGCTAGAATTGAGAGAAGTTGCTACATATGTATGCATGCATGTATTCGGTTTTCTGGCTATACAAGGTGATACAAGGTTTCATGAGGTTCCATGTCGATATTGGGGAATCGGGGAATCAACGGCCTGGGGAAAGACCAAACCCTAAAGAAACCCCAACCCCTGTAGACCCTGGTTTGGGCTGTAGGGCTTAGGGGTTTATAAGGGGTTTAGTGTAAAGCATCAACTCTAAGGAGTAATCCCCTCAAATCCTGAACACGAACCCCACCAATCAGACACTGGCTTGGGCTTTAGGGTTTAGGGTTTAGGGTTTAGGGTTTAGGGTTTAGGGTTTAGGGTTTAGGGTGATGGGTGATGGGTGATAGGGTTTAGGGTTTAGGGTTTAGGGTTTAGGGTTTAGGGTTTAGGGTTTAGGGTTTCGGGATTAGAGTTTAGGGTTTAGGGTTTTAATGGTTTAAGGGTTTAGGGGTTTAGAGCCATTAATTGCGGGGTCCGGAGCCTCGCAGGCTCTCCTCCTCGCTCCTTGCCTCGGAGGCTGTCTCCAGGCGCATCATCGCTGGCGGCTCACTGGCCTTCGTTGGTAGGGTGTTTTTAGGGATAAACGAGCCGAAACCCTAAACCCTAAACCCTAAACCCTAAACCCTAAACCCTAAACCCTAAACCCTCGGTGTTTCCAGCAGTTTCGGCACCCCGGGGTGCCTTGCTTCGGCTGTCTATTTGTCCATACTCCCCTTCAGAACCGTAATAAAAGTAAAATGTTTGATGTCCTCTTGGGTTTTTTATAAACAAAAACAAAGAAAAACAATTCCCAAGGGGGAGAATGTTGTCAGGGCAGGACCACAATCCCTCAACTCCAGATGTTGTGTGTGAGTCGAGTCGTCACTTCTTGTAGCACTTCTGGGAAGACTGTCGCCCAAATCCATCGATTTCGCCAACTTTTTTGCGAAGCACTCTAGATGGAGTGACCTGCTGTGCAAGGCAACGTGCAGACGGCAGCTTGAGGAAAACAAAAAGCTTTCTCGGAAAACCGCCTTGTCAAGACCCCATGCTTTTACAAATTCAACGAACGTTCCAAGGCGGCGAGAGGAGTACATGCACTCCATGGTTTACTCTTGAAGGCTAAACCCTTAATCCTGAACGCACAGCTCTAACCCGCCGCCCGGTGGCAGAGCGTAGCTGCGCACCGATCACATCACTTGCTGGTGCCTGTGGCAATGTGGGGGCAAGGGTTGAGGGGATTCAGGTGTTGTTGGTTTAGGGGCTTAGAGATTTAGTTGTCGGGCTTTGGCGCTGGTTCCATGGTCTACTGGGGCTGCAAGTTCGTGACCGGCACCCGCGAATACACCCTCAAGATGAGGAAGGCGTGCTGCTCGCCTCGTCAATGAAGGTGCGGCTGTACACGAAGGTGACCTCCGTGCCTTCCATACCTCTCACGCTTCGGATCATGTTCGGAATGCCGGGATCGCACGGAACAATGAAACAGCGACGTGCTGCTAGCGAAGATGAGGACCCTGCAGAGTGCATAGTCTATACATTGTTTTGGTTTCTCAACCCCAGACCCCGCAATGGTAAAGGCCCAGCGCCCAGAACACTGCATCATCATCCGGACTTGGCCCTCACCCCGGGGGCACCGGTGAAGACAGCCATGGCTGATGGGAGAAAGGGGAGTCTCGAAGTTTCTGAGAGCCAAAAATTTATAATGCTCCCCAAGCGCGACATGCAGATTTTCGGGTTCCCTCGAGGCACTCGAGGCCCCATGGCATTTCAAAGCGCCACTTGGCCAAAGCATGCGCAAACCATAACAAGGCCATCAGAATGCGACAGGCATCCTTCAAAAACAGCACACTGCACCTACGGGCTATCGGCGGCTATCGTGTTCTGCTGGCGCAAGCCTCTTGAGGGTGCTGGAGCGACGACGGTGCGCCTCTTCGCCAGGAGCATGCGCGACCAAGAAGGCTACAAGAGCCGCCACCAAATGGGCCTTTCCCAACATAGGGGGTGCCCCATTTTCTACCCCCCAAAAAAATAGAATCCCTTAGAGGGACCCGCAACAAGGGTACCCGACTTTCCGAAACCCCCCAAAAATCCCGCGGCATCTGTGCCTAGGCGAGAGCCTGGCTTGGGCAATCCTGAATATCGAAAACCCCAATTAGGCTACCCCTAAACCCTAAACCCTAAACCCTAAACCCTAAACCCTAAACCCCATACCCATTCTCAGCAATCCCCAATGTGCTAATTCCGCTTTTTGCCACATTGGTCTGGAAATTCGAAGACCAGCGACGCCCACCTTGCTGAATACGGACTCTGCTCTACCTTGCACACCCTGAGTTTCAGTTGCGGCTCAGGGTGCAGGGCAGAGATGTCAAGCTGGGCGCGACCTGAATCCAATTCAACGATTATAAAGCACCCACAGCGCTTGGCCGCAGGTTGCAGCACTGCAAAAAGGCTGCAGTGCACTCTGTAGCAGCTCAGACAGGCTTGTGGAATCTTGGGCAAGCCAGATGTCGGAACGCCTAGGAGAGTCTAGGAGTATGCTGTTAGGGTCTTTTTTTTGGGGGGGGAGGGGGGGGAGGGGGGAGATCGGCTTTGTACCGATCGTGGGCTCACGCGGCGAGTGCGCATTTGGAGCTTGCCAACAAATCTCATATGGGGGCCCGCCGCGCACATTGGCGCCAGAAATCAGAAACTCAGAAGGTTTGAGCTTTAAACAGCTCCCTCGTGGCCTCCAAAGAGTACCATGGTGCGGATAACTTCAACAGCTCCGGCTGCTCTCGGAGTCCCGCTCAAAAACTACGATTTTCCTGAAGAACCCCCACAAAAAATATCTACAACATGAATCCTTATATCGCCCTTCTAAGGAAGAACATGTCTTACTTTGTGGCGGGGGGGGGGGTTCTTAGGCAAATAGTAGAACAGTATTGCGCAAGCGCCGGCCATCAGCATGAACTCATGGCACCAGGCACAGCGTGCATATATGGACTCGGACATGTTACATCGCTCGATAGCCTCAACCCTTTTCGCTGCGCACCTCTCCTGCCCAAAAAACAGAAGTCCACCCAAAACCCAAACGTGCCCAGAAGCAGCTGCCATCGGAAAATATGCTGCGGGAGAAGAGCAGTATGAAAGGGATGAGGATACATGGGCTACGAAAACCATCGCGTTGGCCCGAAGTTTGTTTCAGGCTCAGACGACGTCTAGGAAACCCTAAGGCCTCCAGTTAAACTCCAAAAAGTTGGAACATCCTTCTCCCCATACCCCAAAAGGTATACGAACGGGAATCCCGGCTCTAGTCATCCTTAAACCATCTTCCAACTTTCGGGAGTTTACTGGAGCCCTCAACAGCAGACCAGGGAAGCTTGGCGCGAGCTTCGCAACAGCTTTGGTCACCTCGAGGAAGACGAGTGCTTGTACCATGTGCATGCTTCTGCGCAGCAAGCATCAGAAAACTTAGGGCATGGGGATCTGGGCTCCATCTTCTGGGCTTCAGGGTTCGCATTCTCTCTGACATGAAGGCACGGGTGACAGAATTAAAGACTCATGTCAGGAGAAGCAGGCCTGAAGCAAGAGGCACTGAAGGGGTTTGGGTTTCACTAGGTGCTTAACGGCTGCTAGCATGTTAAGATGGATTGTAGCACCTGAAATCCTTTGAAGCCTCTGATTGAAATGACCCCCGAACCAGCTGCACCCAAGGCACGTTGCTTGCGCAAGGAAAGCCACTCTGGAACCAGAGTAGATCAAGAGTTTCTCCCACACACCAAAGCCGGCCGAACCTACAAGGAAGCAAAAGGGTCCAATGACCTGCACTGTGCAAACAAAAAGAACGCTGCTGGCGAACGCTTCCTAGACCCTGCATCCCCCCGAGCAAGCCCTAAAACCGCTCGGGTCAGCCGGAGCTTTGAGCAACACTTGCTCTGAACAGGGAGTTCTGAGGGACAGTCGGCAGAATAGACTCAACTGCAGCATAAGGTACTCTATCAACTAGTCTGGAACCTGCTTCTCGGGAAAGTCGGTTCAAGGGGTAGGAGGAGCTCTCATGACCAAGACGAGTAACCCCCTATTATAATAACGCACCCTTCTTGGGTTGGCCACTCTTTGGGGAACCCAGAACCCCCAAAAAATTGCGAAAGGCACCACTGGGCTACCAAGTGGAGGGAGTGCTTACGTCGCGCTCGGCGAGGGCTCCGAGAGTTCTGTCTGTTTTCAGGTTTAGGGTTTAGGGTTTAGGGCTTAGGGCTTAGGGCTTAGGGTTTAGGGTTTAGGGTTTACGGTTTAGGGTTTTGGGGGGGCCAAAAGAACCATCATCTTGAGAAACTGACCCCTTATTACTGTTGTACAATGGAGCGTACAGCAACACATCGAGGGTGTTCACCCCAGACCACTTTGGCATCTTGATCCCAGACGCTCAAGCCCTAAACCCTCTATCCTCGGCTTCTTAAACCCTCAGCCCCTAAAGCCCTCAACCCCTGAACCCGTAAACCCCTAAACCCTAATTAAACCCTAAACCCTAAACCCGAATCTCGCTGAAGAGTGGCTAAAACTTCAAGCAGCACCAGCCATCACTTCGAGGTCATCCGTGAGCTTCTCGAGGCCTCGTGGGCAGCTGACCGTCCCGGTTCCCCCAAGCGTTTAGGGTTTAGGGTTTAGGGTTTAGGGTTTAGGGTTTAGGGTTTAGGGTTTAGGGTTTAGGGTTTAGGGTTTAGGGTTTAGGGTTTGTACCCGGAAGTAGCAAAGATCATTGCTCTGGTCCCTTGCGCATCTCTGAGTACCTCAACAAGAACATGGACCCCTCTTGAGGCTCCGAGTGTACTGCGTTCTGTGAGGTGGCTCAGGGTTCAGGGTTCAGGGTTTATGGTTTAGGGTTCAGGGTTCAGGGTTCAGGGTAGTTTAGGGTTTCGGCCCCAAGCCCTGAACCCTGCAATCCTGAAGCGCTTATTCTGCACGCTGGCCTTGTAGGACCTTCAGGACCTGCTAAGCTTTGCAATTTTCCATCTTTCGTACCGTTCGTTGCTTGCGGTATATAGGGTCTAAGGTTTCAGCGTTTAGAAGGTGTAGGGTTCAGGGTTTGAGGTTTAGGTCTAGGATCTAGTGTGTAGAATGGCTAGAACCTTTAGAATATCTGAGGGCTTACAGTGTACAAGGCTTTGAAGGTCGTAGGGGTTTGGGGGGCTTAGGGTTTAGGGGGCGTTCAGGGTTTGGGGGCTTGAGGGTGCCCAGGATTATATGATTCAGCGTGTAAAGTTTGGGGAGGCCCTAAACCCTAAACCCTAAACCCTAAACCCTAAACCCTAAACCCTGAACCCCAGGACTTGCGACAGAGCTGCATGCCGCCATCAATGTTCCGAAGTCGCTTCGGGATGCCTGCGCCGGATAAGAGGGCAAAAATTGTCTGGGGTTTAGGGTTTAGGGTTTGGGATTTAGGTTATAAAGGCCGGTGGCCTCTTTATCTGTTACCCTTATACCTTAGGATTTAGGGCTTTTAGGGCTTAATTTAGCCCCTAGATACCCAAATAAGAACCCCCATACAAAACAGAAACCCTAACTAAAGAGACCACCAGCCAATATAAGGTTAAGGGTTTAGGGTTTAGGTTTGGGGTTTAGGGTTTAGGGTTTAGGGTTGAGGAAATTGCACCAACTCTGATCTCTTTTCTGCCTGCTGTGACCCCTTGTGTGAGGGGCCAAGATAGGCCAGGCTCTTCTGAAATCGGTTTGGGGGCTAGGGGTTAGGGTTTAGGGTTTTCAGTAGACGCAGAGAGGCAAAAGGATTTACGTTGGAGCGACTTGAACCGTAGCCATTTCGTAGCCATTTTGGGGTTTAGGGTTTCAGGGTGCTTCTTCTCTTTTTGGGTTATAGGACGGGGGGGGGTTAGGGTAGGGCTTCGATGCCTAAAACCTGAACCCTAAACCCTAAACCCTAAACCCTAAAACCCTAAACCCTAAAGAGTAGTTTAGCCATACACTGCGTGAAGTCCACAAGGCCCCTGATGGAAAGCCTTGGCGACGGCGAGAAGGGCAAGCTGGTGGAACTGCATGCGGGCCAACACCTGCTTCTGGGGTTTGGGGTTTGGGGTTTGGGGTTTGGGGTTTGGGGTTTAGGGTTTAGGGTTTAGGGTGTGGAAAGAGTCGGAGACTAGTTCCTCAACCTGACTTTGTGTCCGAGACAGAATGACATGCAAGTGTGCTTCAGACCCAGATCTTGCGGCTATAGGGCCCTAAACCCGAAGCCCGAAACTGCTCACGCCTTACAACCTCCCCGGGACTCCCCGTAGATTTCTCAGGCGAATGTTGGCATGCCAGGTCTGCAATCAGCAGCAGCAGAAAGGGTGTGCAAGCAAAAGGGTTTAGGGGTTGTTGAGGCGGCCCGTGGTACTTACCCTAAACCCTAAACCCTAAACCGAAAACCCCAAAACGACTCTCAACACCAGCAGACTGGGTAGCATTAGCGAGTAGGGTGCCGGGTTGGGACCCCCCATGCAGAGCCACTGGGTTGCTCCCAAGCAACTCTCTCCAGACGACGCTGCATGGCCTGGGAAACCACTTCCTGCTGAGGGACGTTGGATTTGTAAAATTTCGGGCTCGGCGTTGGGGTGAGAAGCAGCTGCTGGGGCGGGAGAGGGGCGGTGCACTGAGGGCGCATGTTGGTGTAGCAG